TGGTGCTGTACTCTTGCAGAAAGACAACTTGGTGCTGTACTCTTGCAAAAAGACGACAGTATAGGAAAAGATATTGGATATTTTTCCCATAAGTTGAACATTCATCAGAAGAAGTGTTCCACCTTTGAGAAAGGGACCTTGAGTTTGGGGTTGGCTTTGTAACATTTCAACATTAACGTGGCCAGTAATGTATGAGACGATTGTGTATACTGATCAGAACCCCTTGATGTTTTTGGGAAAATTTAAGGATAAAAATATAACATTAATTAGATGAAGTTTGTTCTTACAACGATTTAATTTAAAATACTTACACCTGTGGCTGTGGCAAGTCAAAAGAACGTAAAGGCCAATGTTTTGTCACAGCTTTGATGAAGAAAAACAAAGGTCCTTTTACTTTTCCTTGCTTTCTTCCTTCTCTTTTCTGCAGTTTTTCTTCCCCCTTCCCCTCTTCCCACCCCAACTTTTAACTTCAACCTACGAGGAGAGAATGGAGATTGGAGTAGGCACATCCCAGTCCAGGAGACGAGTCTGAGTCCAGGAGGAAGTTGCAAGCCGGAGCCCAGCAAGGGAAGCAACAAGTCCTGGAAGCAGACCCTCACCCAGAGGCCAGCGAGACCTTGAGTTCTGAACCTTGGCAGGCGCTGACTTAGCGAAAAGGATGGTCATTTGAGTATTTTTTTAAAAGATACATTTTATTTATATTGATATTGTTCTTTGAGTAATTTAAGTAGTTTGTAAAAACTTTGTATTCCTATGCTAGACTATTTCATCACTCTTTCAATTCTGTACCAAACGATTAAAAGTAGCTGTACCTAAGATGGCTCTAAAGCAACGACAACTTTTTACTGCACCCATTTGGGTGCATATGACAATAAAGCCAATTCTTGTTTAATAGCAGAAGAAATGGACTAAATGGACTGCATTATTGAATGTCCTCCTGCTTAAATTTAATACAATGTAATATAAAACAAAATTGAAGAGTACTTACTAATAGTGGCAGACTGAAGGCTTTGGAAATAAAACCGTCTTTGCATTTTTCTTTGGCAGGGCAGATGGCGTGGCGGTAGTGTGTACCTTTAAGAACCATGTTCTGACCAGTTTCTCTTGCAGGAAGCATTTTGTCAGAGTGGTGCCTCGGAAGTTTTATTTCCTAACAAAATGTGATTTTGTCGATAGGGCCAGCGACTACTGCTTCGTGGAAGTTGTTTTGTAAGCTGAAGCTACTAAGAGGAGCACTATCAATCAGGAAAGACTAGTTAATGACGATTTGTGTCAGTTTTAGGGAGGTGCACAGAGACTTTCTCTCCGTGAGGCCTCATACCTTCTCACATCATCTTCCCAAACTCCTTCATTGCTTGTGCACGAGGCCCCTCCACCGATGGCAGCTCACCTCTCAAGTTAGAGACCATTGAAAAAAATGAGTAAAACCCAAACTGTTTAAGGATGCCTACCTTGAAGAAGTTATCCTCCTCCCTCCCTAAAGATCTCAGTGGATCTCTCTCCCGCTGCAACCCTCTGGTAATCTGTTCGGCCCTGAAGCAAACCAGATACTACAGCCCCAGTGCCTTTCTTAGTACCAGTCTATTGAACCTGATCATCCCCAATGGACTCCAATCTACATTCAGGCCATTCCCAATCTGGCCTTGACCATGACAACCTCTACAGACAGAACATTCAGATCCTTCAAAAATGTTTCTCTCTGCGGCTCCTCAAACACACGCTCTCAGCAATGCGCCGGTATCTCCTGGCCCTACAATCAAGCCCTACCCCAGCTCAGAGCCTCCCTCTCCCAGACCTACAAAAGACCTCTCCTGTTTTTCATTCTTCGCAGGATCCGCAACCTCAACTCACGATTCTACTCCGCTCTATTGGACATTAAAAACCGTAAGTACACTAAACATACTGCCACCAGACACAGGCATCTTCCAACCCCCAAGTACCCAACCCTCCCCAGGACCTTCCTCACAATGTGCCCACCGCCATTGACCAGGTGGTCACCATCCCATCACCTACTGATGCCACAGATCACATCACATCCACCGACACCAGTCACATCACTTTCGGTACCGCAATCCACACCACAGTCGCCACTGCTTCTGTCACCAAGACCGGGAGCACCACCATCAAGGACACTGCTCCCACCGCCATCAACATTAACCCCGCCCCCACAGCCACCAGCTCTACAGTAAACACCAGCCCTGCCAAGTCTTCACCACTACCCCCTCCCCAGACCTCTCCCTCACTGAGGGTGAATGGTCAGTTCTCAGTAAAGGACTCAACCTTCATTCCCCTCCACCCGAACATCAACAAATACCGCTCACGCATGGACATCGAACACTTTTCCCGCTGCCTTCTCCTCCGTGCCTATTTCTCAACCTCTTCATCTCCAACTGCCGTCGCAACATCGATCACCTCAACCTCTCCCCCACAGAATGTGCAGCCCTTGCTCCAACCCTAACCTCACTACCAAACCCGCGGACAAGGAAGATACAGTTGTA